AAACTTGCCTACAATGAGCATGGGGTAAGGAAGGTTCTAGGGCTGGGCAGCTTTTCCCCTTGGGAAAGTCCCCGTCCCCAGCTTTTCAGAATGAGGTGGTTGCACACAGAAGTTTGTGTCATATGTTCAGGAATCTACGGACTAGAAGAGATGCTGAGAAAAGTTTCACACCAGTGTCTTCCCTTGCACCAAGAGGGTTACCCTAAGGGATACCGTTTTTGAGAATGGTGCGACCTTTCTTGGCCCAAGTGGTCATGGCCCAGGGGCTTAGGGGGTCTTAGTTATTTTTCTGCTGCTGTGATAAGATGTCATGATCAAGGCAACTTAGAGAAGAAAAGTGTTACTGGGGCTCATGGGTCCAGAGGGTTAGAGTCTGTGGCCATCACGGTGGGGATCATTGCTTGACTGTCTGATGGCCCTTAGCCTGCTGGCCATGGACCTTGCAGGTGTCCTGGCGGCTGTTAATTAAACTGTGCTGTCTTTGTTCTCACATTTAAGTGAGCAGCTTGACTCACAGCTGCCAAGCTGTAGCTACAGTCTTTTTTCTTCTTGCTCACCAGTGGGGCTGTAGTCTTGTGTGTGTGTGTGTGGGGGGGTCTGGGGTGGCCTGGGGTGGTCTGGGTGGTGTCCTTTCTAGACTGGGCAGACCCAGAGCTATTTTCCTCTATATATGCACTTGACATGGAGCCAAAACTTTCTGCTTGCTAGCTGGGATTACCCTGGGCAAGGCACAGCCTGCAGCCACTGATCCACCTCGTCGGGGAACGCACGGCACACGGGAACATCACCGTGCCCAGTGGTTCCAGCTTTTTCCAGGCCTTTGCTATTTTTGCCCTTAAACCTCTCGTATCCTAAAACATTTTGGCACCATAGAAACAAGGCCATTGTATCAGGGTCGGCGGTACTGGTTTCAAAACTTATGTTCCCCCGTTTGGAAACTGTCAGGCCAAGCGGGACACTTGCTCCCCCTACTGGCCCCCTAGTGAAGACCTTTTCAGTTTCTCTCCCTGGTGTGGAATTTGGTGCCCTTGGTGACATCCGCTTAAAACAATGAATGTCCCTCTCTCCCCCATGTTTCTAGAGACGCAGCAGTGTGCAAAGAACTCAGGGTTATTGCACAATGAGGGCTGTGATCAGAAAATGACTCGACACAGCCCATTTTTTTCCTATGTGGACATGCAGGGGAGGGGACAGTCCACAGATACCCATCGCCAACTGTATTCATGAAGGGCACAGGAATTTTCCTCAGGGTTCCTCTAAGAAAAGACCAGGGTATCGCTGTTCAGGTGGTCAGAAGGAGGCTAAAGTTCTTTCTGTATTGGATTGTCCCGTGTGAAAATAATTAGCTGCCGTTGCCATAGCCAAGCACTTTTCGGTATTTGGTCCCCTTAGGTTGATTGTGTCTGCTGACAGTTTACGGTGGAGGTTATCACGGGGCACACCACGTGTGCCCTACACATCACGCTGTAGGAGCTTCCAGGGGCTCAGAGGTCCTGCTGGTGGGGGAAGGGCGGTCACAGAGTGATAATGAGCAGATAGCGTCAGGCCTGTTTCTGGAATTCAGCAGAGGTAACAGGGTGGTCCATAGTCACATACTCTCTATGAGGGTGGAGTCATGTCTTCTCTATGAGTATGTGATGCATCCGCAGCTGGCTGATGGCCGGAGGCCCCTGACATTCTGGAAGTTGGGGTGTTCCCAGCAACCCAGCCCCAGCTTCAATCAGCTAAATGGTGGGCCTCAGTGCACATGGTACTCTCCTTGGGTTCTGTAGCATTGTCCATACCTGGGTGTCCTGCCCGTTTTATGTAAGTTTGACACAAGCTAGAGTTGTCTAAAGGGAGGGAACTTCAACTGAGAATACGCCTCCCTAAGATCAGGCTGTAGGCAAGCCTGTAAGGCATTTTCTTAATTAGTGACTGATAGGGGAGGGCCCAGGCTATTGTGGGTGCTGCCATTCCTGGGGTGATGGTCCTGTGTTCTTTGAGAATGTAGGCTGAGCAAGCCATGGGAGCAAGCAAGTAAGCAGCCCCCCTCCATGGCCTCTGCATCAGCTCCTGCCTCCAGGATCCTGCCCTGTGTGAGTTCCTGTCCTGACTTCCTTCAGTGATGAACAGCAATGCTGAAGGGTAAGCTAAATAAACCTGTGCCTCCCCAACTTTCTTTTTAGTTCTGGTGTTTTGTTGCAGCAGTAGAAATTCTATCTGAGACACTGGGCCAAGTGTTTGGGCTGCTCTGGGGACTGCAATGGGAGGAGGTGACATTCAGTGCCCTCTCTCCAACTGTGTCTTGTCACCTGAGGCCTGACACTGCTTGTGTCTGGAGTCTCACTACGCCCTTCACAAAGGTGATCCGTATCTCTACCCCTCAAATGCAGCACCAAGGTCATTAATTCACTGCATAGAAAGTCCTGCAAGTCAACTTTTGTGAATTGTGGTGACATATTGTTTATGGTTTATTAAAGTCACTGGAGATCAAAATAGCAAAGCAGCTACACTAGCTAGCCATAGAAGCCAGGCACACACCTTTAATCCCAGGACTCAGGATTAAGATGTAGACTGATCCAGTCCTGAAAGAAACAGCTCACACAAAGGTGATCTCAGCACCTGGGATCACACGCCTTTAATCCCAGCACTAGGAGGTGAATACAGGAGTGGTATGGGTGGAGAAAAGGAGACAGGATCTGAGAGCCTTTGCCCCTGAGGATTTGTGAGGACAGGATTGCTGTTTCAGCTGGGTAGAGGAAAGATCTCCTGGCTCGGCTGCTTGGCTCTTCTGATCTTCAGCTTGAAGTTTGAGCCCCAGTGTCTGTCTCTGGGTCTTCTATTTATCATGCAACAGTGAATGCTGTTTCTGAGGCGTTTAAAACATCACAGCTGATTTTGAATAAGAAGATGTGGAAAGACCCATCCGGAGTAATTCAGGGTGTATCATGAAACCTAATAAAGGATGGGGTAATTATGTTACCTTTCCAGAAAGGGCCAGGGAGTTGCACTGACTGGAAAGGGTTAGAGCCCTCCTGTACTGTTCTCTCTTGTTCCCTGGAAAAGGCTCTCTGGATCTAGTCAAGGAAAGGAAAATGCTGAGAAATAGGTTCCCATTTTTAGTTGTCATTGTTCTTCCTATGGAAACTTAGAAAGCGTCTTCACTTAACCTATTGTAGCTACTTACAAACTTCCCAAACCATCAGAAGCAAAACCATGCCAAGGATGCAGAGAATCTCAGTCCCTTCCCTGAGTACCAGAGGGCTGCATCTCTGGCTTGTGTTAAGTCCCAGAGCAGCACTTCCCTGGGTGTTAAAGAAACGATGAGATGAGAGAGGAGAAAGCGTTTCTACTTTAGTACTGCTCATTCACCATTTCCAGGAGAGTCCTCGCTGTTTCCACTTGTACTTCAGGGCTCTGCATCAGCCATGGCCTGCATGTGTGGGTGGGATTTGTCAACTGTTCATATTTCTTTTTTTTTTATGAGACAGGGTTTCTCTGTATTGTGTGGAGGCTGTTGGTCCAGCCTGGCCTCGAACTCACAGAGATCCGCCTGCCTCTGCTTCCGAGTGCTGGGATTAAAGGCGTGCACCACCACTGCCGGGCCACCTTTCTTATTTCTAATGAGGGGTAGGGATTGAATTTAGAGCTCTGCACACGCTAGGAAAACACCCTAAACACTAAGAAACACCCCAGATCTTATATATATATGCATATATATATAATTATTTTATTTATGTGTATGTATGTATGTAGCTATGTATGTATGTATGTATGTATGTATGTATGTATATCTATGCACATGTGTATGGGCGCCTACAGAGGCCAGAAGAGGGCACTGAGTGTCCTGGATCTAGACTTACAGGTAGGTGGTTATGAACCACTTGACATGGCTGCTGGGAACTGAACTCAGATCATCTCCAAGTACTAAACCATCTTCTCCAGCGCTCCCACCCCATTTTTGTGGTTTTCATTTTGAGGCAAGGTTTCTCTAAGTTGCTCAGGATGGCCTTGAACTCACTCTGTAGCCCAGGCAGGACTTGAATATGCAAATCTGCCTCAAGCTTCCCAAATAACTGAGATGACAAGCCTGTGTCACCAGGCTCAGAAATCATACATTATTCTTACGTGGCTTCAAGTGATACTAAAATGACTATTGAGAACTCTATCTTCTCTGGTTGTGCTATTTGTTAATAATACTGACCACTATTTCATCTCATTTTTCTCCTTCTCTGCTAGGCTCAGATGAATTAATTGTAGCTCCTGGAAAACTGTTCCCTTGTGTTTAAAAAATAGTATCAAAGTTTCCATCTGAGTTTCCTACGGTATAGAGGCAATTTGATGCTACTGTCTACTAACTTTAATTTTTGCTTTGCCTATGATTGTTTTGCCTGCAAGGATATCTGGGCAGCACTTGTGTGCCTGGGCCCCAAAGAGGCCAGAAGTCACAGATGTTGTGAGTGTGGAAAATGAACTCGGATCCTCTGCAAGAGCTGTCAGTGATTTTAAAAGCACACCGGCCAACTGGCTCTCGGGTCAACTGGTTCTCGTTACACAGAACGAGAATTAAAAGTGCTCATTTCTTTACCTCAGAAGGTTTTAGGGGAGCTACTTAAAGATCACCTGAGTGACTCAAGTGGAAAGCTTCGGGTGTCAGGGTCTTTTTAAGGAGAATTCTGTTTACTAGGAGCTGAGTAGCCTCTTGAGGTACTTGGATAAGGCACAGACTGATATGGAGGCTCTGGAGGACTGTCTTCTAGAAAAAAGCCACAACTTGCTCCACTAGCAACAACTTGTGTGTATGACAATGTTGTTGACCGGGCTCTGTGGTTGAGCAACGTTGGAGTCTCACCTTGAAGACTCTTTTTAAGTGGAAGGGTCCTTTAGATTTCCTATGTAAGTTCTTGCATTATTTTTTTTGTTTGAATAGATTGAATGCTCACCTGTGGGCGGAAAATCAATACATTAGTGTATGTTTGTTCATGAATTAAACTTCATCTTTATTTTTCTCCCTGCAGTCAAAACTCTTTGGAGGCATACTCCATATTCCTTATAACACTGTGGACGTCTGGATGGTATTTCAATCAAGGTAATTCTAAGAACACGTCAACTCATCCCTAAGATGACTGTGGTGTTTAAACACGATTGAGGGGGCAGATAGATGACCATACAGCTACTGATGCAGATAATGACTTTAACTATAAGAACCAGTGCCTGTGTACACCCAAGTTATAGGTGATTTAGTTCAATAATTAAAAAATAAATCCGAACACTAGCATCTGGATATAGAGGTAAGTACCCGAGATCTGAGTACTCAGGATCTAGAGACAGAGCTATACAGTGAGACTCTGTCTCAAAAAGCAAGGGTTAAAACTAACCTGGACTCATAGGGGCTCAGGGATACATAGAACTGACAACCAGGAGCTTGCATGGGACTGACTAGGCCTTCTGTATGTGTGTGACAGCTGTGTATCTTGGTCTTCATAACTGTGAGAGCACAGCTGTCTCTGACTCTGCTGCCTGCTCTTTGGACCCATTCTTCCTACTGTGTTGCCTCCTCTAGCCTTAATAGAAGAGGAGGCACCTAGTTTCCTTGCAGCTTGGTGTGCCATGGCTAGCTGATGTCCATGGGAGGCCCTTCTGTAGCTGAAGAGAAACAGTGGGGGAGGGGTGGATGGAGGGGGAGGAGGGGAGGGAAGGGAAACTGATTAGGATATAATGACAGCAGTAACAAGAAAGCAAGGGTTAATAACACAGGTCAGTGGAAGAATACTTGCCTGGCGTGTACAAGGCCAAGAGTTTGGATCAGAGCATCCTCCTACTCCCCATTGTTCAAGGTCGTGTGGCTATAGGCCATACATACCTAGAAACAAACCATATGCTCGATAATCAAGGATAAAAATGACACGAACCTTGTCTTCAAATCTGCTAATCTAATTTAACCAAAGGAGCAGAACGCAGAAAGCAATTCACTTTCACAGCAGCAATGTTTATGGAACTCTTACTGTGTGCCAGGCCATTTCTTGAACCTTGTAGATTTGTAGGATTTAAACTTTCATATGAAACAGAGTCAAAATTGATTCCTATTTTACATATGAGGAAACTGAGACGCACACATGTTAAGTTGTCCAACCTGATATTCACCAACATGGAGAAAATCTTCCATCCAAGGGCATAGCAGGTCTACTGCTATTTGTCCAGCGTGTCCTGAAGGACACGGTGCTACGCTTTGAATGCAGCAGGTCTGCAAGCATGCCCTCTCTGTTTTGCTGAAGTTTCCTTGCTGAGCTGAGGGTCTAGTGTACCCATGTGTTTGTGGGGTGGCCATGTATGGACACTCTAGCTGTGGAAATAGAATCCCCTTTGGTTCCTGGTAACTGTAATGGCCTCATTTGGGTATGCATTTGATTGCTAAGATTTAAATAAACTAAAATCCAGCTGCTGCCAAGGAAGCTTCACCAATCTCTTTCTTGCAGTTTTTACTGTCGCCCGAGGAGTTTCAGAAACAATGGCTTTTAGAAAGTGACTTTGAAACTTACTCAACTCACACTCTTGTTCCCTAATGGCATGAGTGTGAGCGGCTGTCCCTTTTCATCTAAGGGCATATTAACAACTAACAAGAGAAGTGCTTTAGATAATGGGATTTCGTCTCTGTCACTTGACCCCTCGGATTCTCCCATGATGGGCTGAATCAGGCGGACTGCCGAGCAGGAAAAGGGTTGGTTCTTGGGTATCGTCATTCTTTTCTCTCCCAAAGTAATAATTCAGCAGGTTGGGACAGTAATTCTCAACAGAGAGCATGCCCAGAATGTCAACACCCTCAGATGCTAGGCAGCTCTGCCACTACCCCTTGTTCTCATGCTCTGGTGACGCCTCCTTCAGCAGTGTCCCCCAGGCTCTGGTGACTCCTCCTTCAGCAGTGTCCCCCGAGGCCTTTCTAAGAAGACAGCACTCTGTCCCACACTGACCCACACTTTCGAGCCTGCGACCACCCTGCCTCGGTGTCTTGTCTTCTTTATGGATGGAATAGAACTCCAGCGGGGCTGCTGAGGTGGCTCAGCCCTTAGAGGGCCAGCTTGAGTTCTGACCCCAGCATCCACACAGAAGGACTGTCACAGAGGCACACGCATCTGTCACCGATGGCAAGAAGGGAGGAAGGAAGCAGGCTCCAGCCAGTGAGCTCCAAGCTCAACCAGAGACCCTGGCAAAAAAAAAAGAGGGGGAGTGGGGTGAGGGTAGTGATGGAGGAAGATACCTGACATCCGTCTCTGACTTCCACATGTACATGCATGCAAGCCCGTACACATGCACACATGTCTACAAGAACACGCGCATCACGCAACACACAAGCACACATGCACAACACACACGTGCACATGTACACACATGCATTCACGCACACACGCTCTGTGAATGTTGAAGCATGTGCCACATTTCCACGTGGAGCTCAAACGCCAATGGTGTAGAATCTGCTCTCACCTTGCTCCTCTATGGGGTCCTGGAGCTCGACCTCAGACACCAGACTGGAGCTGCGAGCTTGCCGCTACCCACTGAGCCATCTCGCCGGCTCTCATTACAGTTTTTTCTTTTTTGGTTTTACGAGACAGGGTTTCTCTGTATTGTTTCGGAGGCTATCTGTCCAGCCTGGCCTCGAACGCACAGAGATCCGCCTGCCTCTGCCTCCCGAGTGCTGGGATTAAAGGCGTGCGCCACTGCCCGGCTCATTACAGTTTTTAATTAGCAGTCTGCTGACCTTGAATTGTGTCGAAACATTTTCCATGTGATTACTGGCACACTTATTTATCTTCTTGTGTGAACTGTGTATTCAAATATTTCACTTGCTTAGAAAAGTGGTTTTTCTTTCATTATCATAAGGATTATTTATTCTGGGCACAATTTTTTTTGGTCAGGAAAATATTTTTAAAATACTTTCTCAGTCCCCACACTTTATTTTGTGAAATATTCATTAAGTTCTACACATTTTCTTTATTTTATCCCTTGTGTAGTTTTGGCGGCTTGTCTGGGTCTCGTGTACATATATGCCCGCCACAAGTACTTCTGGGGCTATGCAGAAACTGCTGAAGGAAGGTAAGGAGAACCCAATAATGGCATGTTGGTGCAAGGTACAGCAGGGTGTGTTTTCTGTTCCCGAGAGGACTAAGAAAGGAATGGAGTATTGGTGACCAAAGTGACCCACGTTACCTGAGGCCAGCCTTGCCAAATCTCACAATTAGACATGAGATGAGAAAATGGCGTGGGAATCTGCTCAGTGCATGAGCTGCAAATGCCAGCAAGAATTCTGCATCGTTTCTAGAATGTTTAGGTGGGGGTGGGGGCTGGTTGACATGGGTGGTGTGGTATCCCCTCTACTTTTCATGATAAGCTAAGTATTTCAAATGGCGTATCGATGAAGTTCCGAGCAGTCCCAAAAAGGGGCAGCCTTTGCCAGGACTCCAAAGTCCTCATCCGCAGCACAATTAACCATCTCACCCCTTCATGCTAACCCTGCAGGGTCACTGGTTTCAAGCTGAGCCTGGGGGTTTTGGCCTTGTTGATTGGCCTAGCTGTCCTGGGATTGGCCAGCAGATTCCTGGATGAATACCTGGACCTCCATGTTGCCAAAAAACTGAGGCATCCCTTCTAAAGTGTTCTCTGCCTTCCCGTGCTCGCTGAGGCTTCGCCACTCTAAACACGACGTGGTGTCCCGTGTTCAATAAAACTTTTAAAACTTTTCATTTGTTTGTCTCGCTGTGGCTTTGTGAAAACACCCCTTTTGCCCACCTGGCTTCATCATATTTACTGCATTCGCATGCCATTTGAAGAAAGGAAAAGCTTTCCAATTTTTTCATATCTCAAAATGAGCTCTATTTTGTATTTAGTTTGAGCATGCTCATGCATACACATGTACACTCATGCACATACGCACAGATGGTTAAGCACATGTGGAAACAGGCAAAGGGCGTGCCGGGCTTTCCACACTTGGCATCTCCAGATATCACCGTGGGGTTTGTTTCTGTTCTAATCCATTGCCACCAGGAAATGTCTTCATTATTTTAATCACTACTAAATCGAGCTAAAAGACTCTGGGTAGAACCAGGCTCCTCCGCAGTATGCTGCATTTGCTTCTGGCCAAAGAGCTGTTTCTGGGTTGTTGAGACACGAAGGCTCAGTCTGTCCTTGGTTTCATGATGAATCTGCCTAACCTTCCAGTGCCGGGCAGGCAGTGTCTGCTCAGTAGTCGGACAGCTGTCCACGCATGCTCTGATTAGCAAACCTGACCAATTTACACTCAAACACCAGCTTCATCCTGACATCAGTGTCGTGGGAAGAGGGGCAGAGGAGAAAGGCCTTTTGTCTGCTGGAGACATCTTTGGAGGAGAGAAGAGCAAGGGGCAGAGAGACCCTTGAGAAATCCCGTCAGAGAGGAAACCTCTGTGAGATGACCGCCACTCCCTGGATGTGACATGGAACAAGAATAGAAACAGTGAAGGAACGCGCCCGCTGTTGTAGGTGTTTTAGCGACACCGTGGTTAGGGCGGAGGATGTCCTCTGTCATTGCACGCTCAGGTGGGGGGGGGAGTGGTCGCGGGCACATGATTTGCTTTGAAATGCTTCCCAAATTCTGCCTAAGAAGTACTTATGGCAAAGCATTACCCATGGTTAAATTGAGCGGATGACTGTGGAGACAGTCTTTCTGCTCCCCCATGGTTTGGGGATGCTCAAAGTTTTAAACTCTTGAAGAGAAGTTGAAATAAACTAACAAATCAGGTTTTCCACAGCTGGGAAGTTCCTTTTGTTCTGTGTCAGAGATGTGGTGGGGGACTTAGGGGCTAGGCAGGACCCATTAGTGTTGGTCTGTCCCTGATGGCCCATGTGTGGCAGGGACACGGGGCCCGGAGCACATGGAAGCGGCGGTAATTTCTCCTCCTGCTTGTTATCTGAAGTGAGATGGACACTTGTGTCAGCTGAGCCATAGAATATTAGGGTAAGAATCCACGTCCTTTGAACTGAATGTGTGTGTGTGGCAGAGAGAGAGAGAGAGAGAGAGAGAGAGAGAGAGAGAGAGAGAGAGAGAGAGAGAGAGAGGATGAAAAGAAGACAATAAATCAAAAAGAAACTGAGAAGATAAGATATGGGCCACATGTCGTAGTCTTGTTCCTTCCTGTTTTGTTTCCATGGTTGGACCTCAAAAATTATGTTCAAAATATCACTAATAAGAAGAATATCACACCATTTGTTACCTCACCCCAGCTTCCCCTTTCTCAGACACGGTCCTTGAAACAAGTCACAGAGTCTGCGAAGATCCCTTAATCCACGGAGAAGTTGTATGTGTCTCACATGCCCAGTGACTTTCCAAAAACCTAGACACATTGGCTCTTCGTCTCCTCACCGCAGACTGCCATGGGACTTTTTAACACCCAGATCACACATGGGAACATGCTTTTTGAGACAGGGTTTTCCTAAGTCAACCAGGTAGCCTTACATTCACAGAGATACAGAGAGTCACTTGTTTCTGCTGGGATTAAAGGTGTGTGTGTGTGTGTGTGTGTGTGTGTGTGTGTGTGTGTGTGTGAGAGAGAGAGAGAGAGAGAGAGAGAGAGAGAGAGAGAGAGAGAGAGATGCCCAACACGAGAGAAAAAGATGGCCTAACAGGACGGTACTGTCATGACCTGGATATGAACAGGAAGGAGAAAGGTAGACTCTAAGTCTCATGGTGCAGTGACAGCTGCCATGCCTGTGGTGTAGGTGACAGGGGGGAGGGCGTTTATTGTGCCCAGGGTGGTTGATGCTACAGCATGGGGTGGATGGTAACCATGGCTTGTTACTGTCCTTGGGTCAAATGATTTCAAACACCCTGCTCTCTGGAGACTTCCACACTGGCCCCACACAAAGATCTTGTGAATCAGCTGTGCCCTGGCCCCACCCCGACTCTGTCTTGATTAGGAAGATCCATCGTCAGTTCTGGGCATCGTCTACACTGGCATCTACCATCATCTTGTAGAATCCTCTGAGGCACATGGCAGGTGCCTGTGAAAATGTTTAAGCATGAACTTCATACCACACACTCAGTTTTATCTTAATAAAATTATAGATTTATTTATTTTTAAGAAGGAAGGTATTTCACTCATCCAGCGCCCAACAGATTTTAGTATAAATTTGCAAGTGAGGAGCCAGCGTTCTTCTCAGGGCTTGATGTTTTTACCCTGTTGTCAACTCCCTCTTCTCATTGTCCTTCCAACCAAAACAATTCCCCTTTTCCCTCCCGTTATCTGGCAAAGCCTGTGCTCACACAAGGGCCAGCCCGGAGGCAGGCTGCCTTCTCCACAGCACTGTCAGCCGTTCTGGAGCAAAGCCCGCTGTGGACAAGGCTTCCCTCTTCTTCCACAGCGAAGTTCGCTCTTCCTCTGGGCTTATGCATGCATTTAAAACTCACCTTTGCTTTGGAACCCTTTCTACTGGTGATGCTTCTCTGTGGTCTGTTTTCTGCTTAACTCAAGAGTTTAGAAACATTTCACCGTGTTTTAAGTTTAATGGAGGCGTTCTAAGGGCAGGTCTTCTCAATGGAGAAATGGGTTCTCGTATATGATATAGGAATGAGTGGCTTGAGGGGGGAAATTAAAAAAAAAAGAGTAGAGCAACAGGCGGAGGATAGGAAGAAATCAAGCAAGGGGGGGCCAAGGGGGGGGCAAGTGGAAGCCACGCCCCAGCCTCTGCCTGATCCTGCAGCAAGCGGGGGAACTGTTCATTCTCAGAGTTTCCCAGACAAGTTACTGGCCTTTTATTATCCCACAGCAGCGAGCTATTGGCTTGAGTTAAAGGAGTATAAACTTGTAGCATTTTCAGCTCAGGGTGGGTTCAGGAAAAGCTGGGTAAGACCCTCTTTGACAGATGTGTCGTGGGCTAGCAGAAACAAGGGACACAGGGGAGAGAAGATGTCAAAATTGCCCATTACAGTGGCCAAGACTACTGAACTGTGTCTCCCCAACACATTCCGAATTTTTCCCATCAAATTTTTACTGTCCATTTTCTCTTCCTTATATTTTTATACGTTAATTTGTATTGTGTGTGCACATGAGTCATGGGGCTCATATGAGGTCAAAGGACAACTTGTGGGAGTTGGTCCTCTCCTGCGACCCTGTGGGTTCCAGGGATTGAACCCAAGTCATTCAGGCTTGATGGCAAGCGCCTTTATCTGATGGGCCATCTCGCTGGCCCCATTATTTTCTGAATGCTCTGGGCTGAGCTACTTCTGAATTGTTCTGGTCCTGGATCTACGGACAGACTTCTTCGTGTGAGACCCCCCCTCCCTTTCACCACATCCTCAGGGGGCTCGGTCGTGTGGCTGAATTAAGGAGGCTCGAGAGTGATTGATTTCTACTGTTAAATAGTTGTTTAAATAACAACACCACAATTCCGAGAAAGGAATCTGCAGTTAGTCCATGAAAACCCGGGAAGGATACATCTGCTTAACTGACGCTGGGCAGAGAGGGGATCCTACAGTGAACTATGCTACGGATTGATTCAGAGAGTGACATTTTATTTCCATTGGTTGTTTTTTTCCTTTAAAAGTGGTGTGTCAACATTGCTTCGCGTTTACATTTCAGAGTTCTGTACATTCCTTCATGGAAATGAGCAGCGCTTGCTGCACGAAGTAAAAACAGAAAGCTGGAAACCTCTGAATTAAATGAAGGAAGTTGCCATAGGTCATAAAGTATAAACCAGTACTTAGATGTCATCCGAAGTATACATCACCTCTTCAATGATGAGTTAGGGAGGAAATAAAAATACTCTATTTTAAACAAACATTTTATATATATATAATATATTTATATGTATACTTTTTACATATAGTAGACCCAGTGATATCTGTAGCATTGTAAAAACCTATGTACAAATAACTTCTTTTTTAGACATTACATATACATCAGCACCGTAGTAAAAACAAAACAAAATGACCTCAATAAAATCTACCACCTATTAGTTGGTCCTTAGACTGAGCACTTCCAGGAGGCTTTTAAAGGACAATGGAGCCCACTCTCTCCACCTGCAGCTCCTCCTTTTCCTGTAACCTGGCAGGAAAAGGTGATAAATTTGAATTCCGTTTTCTCACTTTACCATTTTTTAATTTTATTTTTTGGTTTCCACGTGTCTCCACTCAGTTTCTCTAGCGGCAGTACCTCGCCGTTCTGGGAGTTCACAGTCACCCTGCGCACAGCTCCTCCCCCTGGTGCCTCCCGACTTTACTTCCTGTCAGAGCAGGCCTGGAACTCTCGGGACATGGAGAACAGCTCCAGAGTGCCCGCTGCAGCCTACTAGACGGTGCGCCTTCTCGTGGGCTTTTCTTGGGTATGGCTGATGCAGTTCCCACGTGAAGACCTAGAACGAACCAGCACCAGCTTGTGTGGTGTGTGTGTGTGTGTGTGTGTGTGTGTGTGTGTGTGTGTGTGTGTGTGTGTGTGTGTGTGTGTGTGTGTGTGTGTGTGTGTGTGTGTGTGTGTGTGTGTGTGTGTGTGTGTGTGTGTGTGTGTGTGTGTGTGTGTGTGTGTGTGTGTGTGTGTGTGTGTGCGTGCAAGTGCGCGCGCGCGCATTTGGGTGGTCAGGACAATAAACACCATGGATAAATGTCACCTGACCTCCAAGTTGGGAGGTGAGGTAAGGAGACAAGGCTTGTGACCCTGGAGACTGCAGATTCCTTATTCAGTTTCACTCCAGGCAGCTTTGCGGGAGTCACCACGAGAGCTGCCTGCGGCGCAGTGTCTGAAGTAGGTTGCTTTCAGGACAGGGACCACATCTCCCTCTCTTCAGCATCCGAATTGTCAAGATGGAGTTATGATTTTTCAGCGTTTCCAACTCCAGCGTTTGATATTCGCCTTTCTGATGGCGGGGTTGATCCTGGAGTGTCACCATCGGCACCGTCTGCAGAGCTGGGGTCTTCAGGCCATTCTTCCCTGGGGACAGCAGGGGTGTGGGTGTGGCTCAAGGGTGTGGCTCTTACAGAGCCTGCATCTTCCATCAGTGGAGTCCACTCGGCTCCAGTGGAGACCTTTGCATGCCGGACACTGTCTAACTTCCTCTTGCACCGACTCTGACTTTGCCCCAGTGATTCACCTCCTGGGTAGGGTGCAGGCGAAGGCGAGGCTAGCCCAGAGGCCAGGAGGACTGGAGGCAGCGGTGAGGGAGGAAGGGCTGGGCTGGCAGACGCTGAATTCTGCAGGGGTCTTTCCAGGCTGCGGCCGGAAACAGATGAAAACCAGCTAAATGTGTCAAACGGATGGGGGCTTCGGGAAGCTCAGTGCAACCTAGAGTGGTGGCCGCCAGGGCCACCGGCAGAAGCTGACCTTCAGGGCTACTGGATGGGCGCTTCGCAAGCACAGCTGGCTCTCCTGGTAGTGGGGCTGCAGCCAACACCTTGCCATTCCCGAGGATCGTCGCTGGGCAGGAGACAGACGAACCTGCAGGATCCTTGCTTGTCTCCCTAGGGGGCCAGCTCAGGCAAGCTCACTGTTCTTCGTGCCTACCTCCAAATCCAGGAACACGTCTGGAAGTCTGCGTCTCCTTCCATCCAGCACCCAGAGCATGTGTGACCTATGCACACGGCCCGTGTGTCTCCCAGCATCCTCTGCTGGGCTTTCTCTGGCTGGGCTCCATCTCCGAGGCCTCGGGACCTGAGGCTGGAAGGTCTACGGGGACCTCGTCTTGGGCCATAGTCCCTCTGGGCTGGAACAGCTCCTTCTGGACCAGTAGATCCGAGGGGTGCTCAGCAGAGGAACGCTTGCTGCCTCGACTTACCCACCTGCTCTCCGTATGGCTCCTCTCCAGGTAGGCGTCTGCGTGGCCTCTCTACTTGATCGCTCTGTGGAAGGCAGGTGGAATGAGGCCCCGCGGAGCTGGGGGTTGACACCTGTACCTTCTACCGTCGGCCAGCTGTCGTTTTTCTCAGTTTACGTGGGTCAAAAAAAACAAAAAACAAGGATGGGGAGCCATCCTGTTTCCACCACTACAGCTCTTGGGCCCCTCCTGACTAGGGGTTACCAAATAGTTCATCAAGCTCCTGCATCCACTCATCCCCTGGGCCACTCTTGATGATGGAGTCCACGAGGTCTGTGCCGTCTGGGAGGCCAGGGAAGGAAGCCCCAGGACCCTCACCGCTATAATTGTAAGACATGTCCTGAGCGGGGTTCCGCTCGTAGGCCTGGCCCTGGCTGCCTGCAGCAAAGCCGCCGCCCGCTATCTGCTGCTGTGTCGGGGGCTGGCTGAACGCCGCCATGCCAGGGACACCCTGGCTCAGACCAGACATGACCAACGGCCTGGCCTGGCTGGTACCTTGCTGCCCTGGGAGCGGTGGCATCATCTGACGGCCCATAGCTGCTGGATTGAGGGTCCTCACTGCGCCACTGTTAGCGTCCATGACTGACTGGCTCAGTCCCTGTGGGAAGTGTTGTTTGGTCATTCTTGGCTGAGCAGCTTGTAGTGGGTAGCTGGTGCCATTGTTGAATGGTCCCAGCTCTCCACTAGTCCTCCCGGGCACCCCCTGCAAGCCCCTCTGTTGCCAAGTTTGTGCTCCTTGCTGGACGGTTCCCATGACACTCTGAAGCCTCGGTGGGCCTTGGGGCCTCGGCAACGCCTGGCCCACGGGTCCTTTCAACTGCTGGTGCTGCTGGGAAAGAGCCGAGTTCACCAGCATGCTCTGCCCGAAGCCACTCACCATGCCCACGCCTTGGCCAGAGGCCGGCTGCCTGGGCCCCTGGGCCTGGCTGTGTGGGATGCTCACGCCACTTTGGTTGGGGTGCTGCAGCATCGGGGTCATTCCTGCGCTCATGTTGTACATTCCGGGTTGGCTGGCTGGAGGGGCACTGTACGGGGCCAGTCCTATCTCTGACTGGGCTGCGGCTGTGGCCATCGTCCCCGGGTTCTGGGAGGGGCCCATTCCCATCATGCCTGCATTCTGTGCCATCAGCCTCGATGTGCGCATGCTCTGGAGGGCTGCCTGGTTTCTCGCAGCTGCTATGTCCTGGGGTGCACCTACAGGGGAGAAAAGGACAACTATCACCCATTACTCTCGGTATCAGCATGTTGTAAGATGCTGCTGGAATCTTCCCTTGGGAATGACAGTCCTGTATATGAAAGGATCTACTGTGATACATCCTCACAAAAAGGTCATTACTTGGATGATTATAATAGGTGAGTTGTGAAAATTTTGCCAAGTATTGAAAAGTACAAAGTCAGAAATTAAAGTCACCTGAATCCCAGCATCCAGAGAAGATCCCTGCCAACTCTTTATTTATGTTTAAATAGATGCAGAAAATTGAGGTCATACCACAGTGTCCTGTTTGTTCATGTTCAGACACAAGCCATTTCCTATTCTGGGTATCATGCCATTGAGTCAGTGGGATGCCACCTTTTTGAGTGTTAGGGAAATGCGCCACGGGCTAAGTTGAGTGTGGTGACACATGCCTGTAACCCTATCGACCTGGAAGACAGGGATGCATGAGGACTGAGAGCTCAAGCTTGGGCTGCACAGTGGACTCCAGTGGGACCCTGCCTAGGAAAGGAGGAGGAGGAGGATGAAGAAGAGGAGGAGGGCGAAGAGGAAGAAGGATAAATACTGTCTGTTCACCGCACATTCTCTTTGTGAAGTGCGACTCAGTTCACTAGGGAACCCATCCGATGACGTCTCCATGTGACTGGTGTTATTTCCCTTTAAGACTTGAGTAGGATTTGTGGTGCACGCCTTTAATCCCAGCACTCGGGAGGCAGAGGCAGGCGGATCTCTGTGAGTTCGAGACCAGCCTGGACTACCAAGCGAGTTCCAGGACAGCCTCCAAAGCCACAGAGAAACCCTGTCTCGAAAAACCAAAAAAAAAAAAAAAAAAAAAAAAAAGAAGAAGGTCCCTACCGCTGCCCACAAGCTATGTGACCAATGAGATGGGTTTTACATTCACCTTGTAGCGCTCCATGAGCAGCACTAGGGTCTGGCTCATTGGCCTGTGTCTGCAGCCAGAAAAAGAAGACATCCTGTCTCTTGTTACTTGGCAAAGAATCTCATGTCTTTTGCAGCAAAGCCCACCCTTTTGGATTGGCAACCGTTTTGCACCCCTCCCCCTCCCTCCCTCCCTTCCTCTCTCCTCCATCACTAAGTCTTGCCAAGCAAACAAGGCTGATATTGGGCCCAGTAGCACTAGCTTGTCCTTACAGGCTGTTCAGCTATCAGAACACTCTGTAGCCTTGACAATGAAGAGCGGCCCGTGTCTTGTGGCTACATTTCACCCCGGGCTGGCTACAACTTCTCTGAGACCACCAGGGATCAGCAGGCACCGCAGGGGTCCTCCAGGAATCCTCTTTTTAGTTTGCTCTTTATCAGGTTCTCTGGTCACTACCCAGACATACACAGGGCATGGAGAGCAATGTCCTGGCCCCAGACTCGTGGGGCGTCAGGACCAGCAGGTGCACAGTGGCCTCACCTTGGAACTGATTGACCTGCTGCACTGGGTACGGGCTCCGCTGCTGCTGGAGGTGCTGGCGGGGCAGGCGAGGCTGCTGTAACTGCTGGAACGACACAAGAGCAGGGCAGCCAGAGGTGAGGAGGAGACAGCACACAGTTGCGCACGCGCCAGCTTTGAGGAAGGCGGTGTATCGTTTCCCCCCTAAATTTTGTGTGGGAAAACAGCACGCATATAGTCAAGAGCTGCATAAAGTAAGCGAGTGAGTGGATTTTTACCAAGTGGAAGCACCTAGAAAACGACTCCCACCCTCCAATCCAGAAACAGACGCTGTCAGAAGCCCCAGTCATTCCTTTCCCTTAACCTAGAGCATCATCAGCCTAACCCTGAACCCCATGGACTACTCATCGCTGAAGGGGAGTCATCCCACGAGTACTCTGAGCCTGCGGTTTCCATCTCCCATAAGAACGACTCCTTCATGCTGAGGCGTGCGCTTCATCCTGGCTCCCGACTAGTATTCTACAGCACAGACACGCCACAGTTAACTCATTCTACTGCAGACAGCCACTTAGGGCGTTTCTAGTCTGCGGCTGTTGCAATTATCACTGCTGTGACGAATCTTCTGCTGACACTGTCTTCGTTTCTGACGTTTGACTTGCTGCTCATGCACCAAGTGACGCAATTTTAAAGCCTGACTGCTTTGCTTAGCACTATGGGGACCTGGCTCAAAGGGACAAGCGATGACTTTTAATGACCTAAGTGGGTACAGGAAGATAGGCTCCTCAGGATATATATGCAAACACACACACACACACACACACACACACACACACACACTGATCTTATTCCCACAAAGTCATACCACCTGTACAATACATGTCTACAAGTAAAATACTCCAAATTTGGGTGGCACACTCCTTCAATCCCAGCATTTGGGAGACAGAGGCAGGAGGATCTCTGTGAGTTTAAGGCCAGCCTGGTCTACAAAGTGAATTCCAGGATGGCCAAGGCTACATAGAGAAACCCTGTCTCAAAAGACAAAACAAAACAAAAAAAACCCCCACAGAAAACAAAACAAAAAACCCAAACCCTCTGACTTTGCTGCCCTGAAGCAGACATGTGGAAACCCAGCTCTTCCAGGCTGGAGTCAGAGGCCCACCTCTAGTCTTTCTTCTTTGGTTGTGGGGATTCTGTGCCACAAGCATCATTACCAACACGCTGGGCAGGCTGTTGGGAGCATTAGCATGTGCAAAGGAAAGAGAGGCAGGGCAAGGGGAAGGAGCTTTGAGCTCTCAGTTGGCCATCAAGCAGCCACGTGACCTCGGGCGCCCTGGACCTCTTTCGAGCATTCATTAAGTACTTCTCACCAAAGAGGGCCAAAGAACGTGCAACCAGATCCCTGCTCCTCAGAGCGCCTACTATAAAAGTAACACCCACCGAACACTTCTTACCACGCGCGTACTTCTATTTTCTCTCTCGTGTTTGCTCCTGGGCAGGCCTGTAATTTTCTGTTTTTCTTTCTTTTCCTCTAAAAGGCCAGCCAACATTCTGGCATCCAAAGGAAAAAAAACACAAAGAACCAGAAACAGCCTCTGCCCTGTTGACCCCAGCCTGTGTGTCTACCGTGGGACTCTACACAAAAAGAGATTAATCAATGCATAGATCATTATGAGAGCAGGCCAGAAACCATAGAAACCTTTCAGGCAATAATGCCAGAACATTACTGTAGAGCAAGCTGAGCTTTCAAAAGTTTCTCCTGGCCTGGGGAGATAGCCGAGTCAGCAAAGTAATTGACTGCCCCAGAAGATGAGGCCCTGAGTTTGAGTCCTAGAGCCCAGGTTTAGAAAAAAAAAAAAAAAAAAGGCAGGGAGGCCTGGTGTAATCCCAGAACTGGGGACACAGAAGCAGATGGTTCTCTGGCCAAAAAGTCCAGCCTGGTCTGGAAGCCCCAGGTCTGGATTCTGTCTTAATAAAGGAGGTGAACAGTGCCAGAAGAATGTGGCCTGTGGTTGACATCTGTGGCCTCCACGTACAGGTACACACACACACACACACACACACACACACACACACACACACACACACACACCTGTACACACACTCACATACACACCCACACGTACATATGTACACACATGTACATATGTACACACACACACACACACTCACGCACACAGTTTCTCCTTGTCAAACTTCCTATACAGTATAGAGTCTAATGGCCTCATTTACAGGGAGTACTAAGTGTGTAGCAGGTTAGGGGGTGGCTTGGAGTCAGGATTCGCTACTTCCCCTTTTCACTGGACTCTTCCAAGTGTGTGGTCTGCAGCCCAGGAGCTCCTTCCCAGCTTCCCACCTGTCAATGATGGCACTTCATGATCATGACCGTTTGTTTATCTGAAACTCAAACGGGAGGTTCTGTCCAGCCTGTGTGAGTGGATGAGGGGCACGCTCCACGCTTGTGAGAACAAGGTATTATCCTCAGCCTCCACCGCTTTTAACCCTCTTGGCTCTGATCGCCAGGTCCGCTGAGTTCCTGAAGACAGGCAGGATCTCACATCCTTCTGTTTTCCTTCACACGGGCTTTCAGGAAAGCAAGTGTTTCCAATATGTTGTTTTCCAGAACTGAAAGTGCTGGGCATGCTCAATGCGGGAAGACTGAGAAAGCCAGAGTCAGCGTGGTGCCGACGTGACAGTCAATATTCACTCTCAGGGCTGGGGCCAGCTCAGTACAGAGCGCTTGCCTAACAGGTGTGAGGTCCTGGGTTCCATGCCCAGCATCGCCAACAAGAGTAGCGAAGAAACGTCAAGGCAGAGAGCCGAGACCATCCCACCCAGGAGCCCAAGTCAGCTGCACTCATAAACAACACCCAGGGCACAGGCAGGCAGGATGTCACGTTGACATGGACGGCACGAGGGGCTGTTGCTTTTCTACAACAATCCCCAATGCTGTCATGTGTCCTGTGAGCCATTCCCATGTACACTTGTGTATAGGATTTCCTAAGGAGTTTGCATACCGTTATCCCAAGTAATCGTTAAGACCGGAAAAGTATGCAAACCTAACCTGCTAAATGAAGACAGATGGGTTTTTTTTAAAAAAAATTATGCGCCCATATCTTCTCGCTTACACACACACACACACACACACACACACACACACACACACACACACGTATGTGGGTGTTGTGTGCCAAGGCACTTAGTGGAGAGTACAGGACAAGCTCTGGTATCGTCCCCGCCTTCTGTCTTGTTTGAGGCAGGGTCTCCTGCTTGCCTCTGTTTATGTCAGCTACCTGGTCCGGTAGCTTCGGAGTGAACCCACGTCCTCCCATCTGTAGGAATGCTGTGATTACAGCTGGGCACTACTGCAGCTGGGACTGATCGCAGCCTCCACGCTCCTGTAGCCAGCATTTTACCCATCTCCTCAGCCTCACATGATTTATTCCTTCGTTCAAAGCCACATCGACTGCAGAAGGATGGACAAGTCCCCACCTGGAGCCAAGTGATTTCACCTTAGTCCCTCCTAATTTGTGAATACAGTTGCTAAGGCAACTCCGTTTCCTGTTTCCTCCACGTTTTCCAGGTAGTCCCACCTCACCACGGTTCTGAGGGGTCTGTCTCGCCTCCTTGTCCACAGGCGTGGGTTTGACATAACTCTTCCTGCAATCTTCCGCTTACCTTTCCATCCCTTTCCCTAGGGCTTGGCAGAGTGGGCAGTGGTGTGGCTTGCAAGCACACCCCTGGGTGGGCACTGATGAGTTTTCTGTCTGCTCACCCTGACTGCTTCTGTGCCTTGGTTGTAGCGCATGTATCAGAAATCATTTCTCAGGGCACCAGGCACACCTGAAAATGTCCTGGGTTTGGTGGAGGAGAGATTTACAAAGCCCAGAGTCCCTTAGCAGCCCCATGTATCACTGCCTGAGAGAGATTAGCACAGCTCCTTGTCACACACCTTATGCAGGGTGAGAGGGATAGAGGGTTGTTTGTACAATAGCTGCCAGGTGGCTGGCTGACCTTGGTAAAAAGGGAGATAATTACATGGCTGTTCAGGAACAAAAGCAAAAAAACCAGGAACATAAGCAGGCTATGCTCAGCAGTACACCTTCTTCTCTTTGGAGGGTGACTGGTGTTATTTGCAACTGCTGTTCTTGGTGAGTGGGGACCTGGATGTGCCTGCATCCTACTCAGTGCCCTGAAGAGAGAATTCCAAAATTCCATTAGGAACAAGAATGAGCAAGAGTCAAAGCGAGTGCTGGGCCTCCCAGGACAGCCTCACACCCGTGATACAGAGCCTGTCTGCAGGTCCCCACAGGGGCCATCAGGGATCTCTCCCCGACAGTCTTAGGTGGTTCCTTGGGATAACACTAAATCAGGCACCAGCATCTCTAAAAACAAAACAAATCAAAGCTTACAGGGGCTGTCTGCAGGGAAGGCTTTCTTCCAGAGCTGGAGGAGTTGTATGGCGGGGGTGGACAAGGAGGCCTAGGGTGAAGGCACATTTGTACCAGGCTTTCCTTTAACTCAGACTGCCTGAGCTCTAGGAAAAGGTGAGAGGGGGGCTATCTCCAGCTGCACCCTCCCTCAACCTGGTCCCAGTTCCCTGATAGTTCTGTGCCTATGGTAACGTTACTAGTCTACCATCGACAACTAATTCAGTAGTTCTGTGCCTATGGTAACGTTACTAGTGTACCATCGACAACTAATTCAGTACAATTCTCCACTTTCTGAATTATTTGATCTTTTTTGGTGTGTGTGTGTGTTAGAGAGAGAGACACAGAGAGAGAGAGACAGAGAGAGAGAGAGACAGACAGACAGACACACACACACACACACACAGAGAGAGAGAGAGAGAGAGAGAGAGAGAGAGAGAGAGAGAGAGAGAGAGAGAGAGCTCAACCCGAACTTCATTCCTCAGAGGCCATCTACCTTGTTTTATGAGCCTGGACCTGGCTAGCAAACCCCACGGATTGACCTCCCCAGTGCTGGAATGATGGTCACACAGCTTCTGCAAACCCCACGGATTGACCTCCCCAGTGCTGGAATGATGGTCACACAGCTTCTGCAAACCCCACGGATTGACCTCCCCAGTGCTGGAATGATGGTCACACAGCTTCTGCAAACCCCACGGATTGACCTCCCCAGTGCTGGAATGATGGTCACACAGCTTCTGCAGGTGAACCAAGGTCCTTATGCTTGCATGGCAAACCCTTTACCAACTGAACTGTATCTTCCTAGCTCACAAATGATTTGTATCATTACTATTTTGCTTTGTGCTAACAATATCAGGGCCTATGGTAAATGTGAGCTAACGCCCCATCACACACTGACTCCCAAGACCCCTGTACCAGCAACCAGGAGAAGAGGGTTCAGGCAGGAATGGGAGAACTGTCTCCAGGAAACAGGTCTTCACACTGATGGCTTTAAAGTCTGTCTTTAGAGAACCAACTAGTTCATTATGAGAGAAAAGCCCAGCTAATCAAAAAGGCATAAATTCCACAGGCTCTTCTATGCCACCATGAAGGGCTGGTCTGTGAGCATCTTGACAGGGACAATGGCGACTTCCTCACAAACAGCAGGTGCCAAATAAGTGCAAGCTGAATTGACAGGCTCACACCTTGGAGGGGGGTGGCTCACACCTTGGAGGGAGGGGGGTGTCACCTACCTGCTCAGCCAGGATCTGCTGCTGCTGCTGCTGCTGCTGCTGCCTCTGCTCCCGGAGGAACTGCTGCTTCTGATGCTGCATTAGCTGGGCCCGTTGGTCCATCAGCATCTGCTTCATGATGGCTGCCTGTGGCTGCCCGCCGAGGAAGCCGAGACCCCCAGGACTGGTTCCCGAGACCATGCTGCTTGACCCCGGGGGCACAGAGTTCTGCATGGGACCGGTGGTCCTGGGAAGACCGACTGCGTGCTGCTCCTACAGGGACCAGAAGAAAGAATTTAGAAATTCTGCCATTTCATGGGAAGCTTCTGAGGGCAATGGTGCAGAGGTCCTAGTTTGGGGATTCCACCATTCCACCTCCAGACAACCATCTTGTAATTTTCCATTAAAAACCACTGTGTTGGCCCCACCACAGTAGAACTGGAGAGGCCCCAGAGGCGGGGAACAGTAATAGTAACAGAGAAGGGGTCTGGGAAACGGAAAGCCAACTCGTCTGTTTCTGATGGGATGGCAGTGGCCGTGCACTGGGGTTTCAATACTCTGTTTCTCCAAAGAAAAGAAATAACCCTGCAGGCTGGGCTCACCGTACGTCTCAAAGGCAACATCTATCCCTACCTTTCCTGACAATCCTACTCCTTACTGTTTACTTTGCCAAAACAGACATCTTAGTAAACAGGACAGACATACACAGAAGACATATACTGCTGGAGCATGATCACCAACAGACCTGATGGTGGGTGTTAGTTTAGCTAACTAAGACACCAGCTTGTGTGTGTGTGTGTGTGTGTGTGTGTGTGTGTGTGTGTGTGAGTGTCCACTTTAAATTCTGTCAGAGTTTTGGTAGTAGGAGCTGAAATGTTTTACTTCCATCAAAGCTATATAATCCTTTTTGGGTTTTTGTCTTTTGAGAAAAGGTTTCTCTGTAACCCTGTCCTAGAACTCACTTTGTAGACCAGACTGGCCTTAGACTCAAGAGATCCACCTGCCTCTGTCCTCTGAGTGCTGGAATTAAAGGTGTATGCCACCATGCCTGGTCAAAGCTGTAAAATCTTAAGGGAGGGTTTTCTTGGGAAGAGAAAGGGGTTCAGCTGGAGGGAGAAGGACATGAGAGGATAATGGCGAGGCAATGTGATCAAAGATTTTATATATATAAGGAATACATTTTAAAAAGCAATGTAATCTCCTAATCTCTTTAAAAATAGATTGTGTCTCATGTATCTGTGATAATTCTAGCACTGGGGACTGGATTGGGACTCTTGATTCTATAATTATTTGCCAGAGAGCTGACGGCAACTTTTAGGGACTGACCCTTAGGAAAGAGAGGTAATGGGGTAAATAGCTAATCCCACAGAGCCCAGGGGATATCTGGAGAATGCCCTCAGAAGGGAAGCCTGTGCAGCAACCCAAATCAGACCAAATCAAACAAAATTAGAAAAGGCCCACGTTTAATGGATACAACGCTCCTGGATAGCCTTCCAGATCCCCAGAAAGGAGATGGAAAAGGAGACCAGATCTCTGGGGGCCAGTTCAAATACCCTGTGGGGGTGGTCTTGAGCATCTCTGGGGGAGGGGTCATCATTTGGTGGACTTTCTGAGATGCCGCAGGGTTTGGAGGGAGATGGGGGAGGGGGCTTGGGTGGACCCTCCACCATGACATCCCAGACTCTTTGGGTGTGTGGATGCCAGGGGCTGAGGAGAAGCTTCCACTGTAACACCCAGAATGTGCATAGGCACAAAACTCAGTTTCTAGACACTTCTATCACCACACTGGCAATGGTGAATGCTGTCTGAATGCTCCTTGGAAACAGTCCTTCCAGTTCACTGGCGACAAGCAGCCAGTCTGAGCACAGAGGCACTCCACTTAAATGGCGGCTAAGGGCAAGAGCAGCAGCAGCACGAGATGTTCTCATGGGGCCGAACACAAAGAGTCAACGTGAACATCTACTATTATTTTAAGGCGATATCCAAATTGGATTTTTAATATTTCTCCCTTTTAAGAGTTGCTACTGCCGGGCGTTGGTGGCATACGCCTTTAATCCCAGCACTCGGGAGGCAGAGGCAGGTGGATCTCTGTGAGTTTGAGACCAAGCCTGGTCTACAGAGCGAGTTCCGGGACAGCCTCCAAAACAATACAGAGAAACCCTGTCTCTAAAAAACAAAACAAAACAAAAAACCAAAACAACAACAACAAAAAAAGAGTTGCTACTGTTTTAATATGGATGTGGTTGATCGTGCTGGCAATTTTCTCTCAACATACAGACATAAGCTTTGCCTGCTTCTGCAGGGTCAGTCTGGGGTTGATTCCCCACAACCCTGGTTTCACCGGGCCTCCTGCTTCTTCTTTGCCTGGAGCTGACCCAGGCAGGTGTTCCTTCCTGGCCAACTTCCACCTATGCTGCATCTCCAGACTCTCCTCCCCCTCCCTGCATCCAAACAAAATGGCCTAAGCCAAACAAAGCACATCACTTCTAGTGCCCCAGAAACAGCAGCGGAGGGGGACAGGGTTAGTTTGAGCAGTTCAGGCTACACCAGTAACTGGATGGTCCCAAAGAGAACCAGGGCTCTGACTTCGAGTACTCTTTCCACCCTGGCCCTCCCTGAACTACGAGTCCCCAGTGCCAAGCACACACATCAGAACAGCTTGTAGACTACATATGAGATACGTTGCTCATAAACATACTGTGTTGTACTTGTGTGTGTGTGTGTGTGTGTGTGTGTGTGTGTGTGTAAATGCTGGGTATGTACGTGCTCCTATGTACTGGCACCCACAGAGATTCCAAGAGGGCATTGGATCCCCTGCAGCTGGAGCTACAGGCAGTTGTAAGCCTCCTGGTGTGGGTGCTGGGAACAGAACTCTGGCCTGAGAAGAACAGTTCAACTCTTAGCTGCTGAGCCATCTCTGTAGTTCATGACAAATGCTTTTATTCATGCATGTGCTCTGCAGTCAGATAAAGAGCTATGAAACATTTTTAATGTTACTAAAAAACATTACGCTAAAAGATGGATGCTCTGCGTGGCTTCGGAGATCTAAGTACAGGACAGAGTTCCTTATCTTCCAGTTCTGTGGGCTGTCTGTCTCTGTGTCCATCTTCCTCCAGGATCAAGTTATTTCTTGCCACCCTGAGAGACAAATGGCGGACCAACTCAACACCGTCACAAATGAGTTAACCCTTGAGTGGAGCTGGCCAGCTGGCAAAAGAACAGATAATAGGTTTTTTTTTTTCTCATGTATTCTAGCCTATTTAATATTTCCTGGTTTTGATAGAGAGATTTGAAGGGGAGATGGGGCCCCAGGAACGATAACACTTTCCTTAGCTCGTTTGTGAATGGGCGTCTTTTGCTGGCCTTGTTTCTCTTCCGGCACTTTTGAGATTTTATTGCCCACGTGACCCCTGCATAGTTGGGGAATGTACCCAGCTGGTGGAGGACCTTCCCTCCCCTGGGAAAGTGAGTGTGGCAAATTAGGTGATGATGCTCATACAACCAGCCACATTTTGTCCCTGCGGACACAGTCAAGGGATGGTCTCTGGGGTTACTTCCACTCCCCAAATGGTCCTGTCCCCAAAGGTCTCAGTGCAGACTACAAGACCCTTCCAAACACAACATCCTTAGGGGCTTCCCAGCAGGCACACAGGTGTGTGTCTCAGAGTCTGAAAGCCCGCCGCTGTGACTGGTTTTCCAAATGAAGCTGGTACAGGCGGCTGTTTATGTCACACAGCTTCTTTTAACCTCGAATCTAAGAGGGCTTAATGAGAAAGAGCCTGTCAAATTCCAGGCTTCCAAGCCCCTGCTCCTGTTTCTAAGGAGGGAACACACTGGGTTGTGCAATTAGAGAAAACCAGAGTGAGCTTTCGTCATGCGACATGTAATGCCTCAGAGCCAAATGATGCAGTATTTTTAGTTTTAATTACTGGTTTGTTCTCCGCTCCCAGCCCGGCGACCTCCCTTGCTTTCCACCCAGAATCTCAATACATTCTCTTCCCATCGCTTCCAATTTGCTATGTAGATCTTCGTGGCTCTCCAAACACTCTCACTTTTCAGTAAAACAAGAAGAGGCCAAAGAGATCAAAAACCAAACACACACGCACCTTCCGCTCCAGGGACAAGAGCTTAACAATTTTCTAAGGGCTAGAGTGAGGTAGGAGGGTGTAAAACACACTGTATCCTCCCCCAAAGAGGCATTTTCCGACTTCAAAAATCAGAGGCGATAAAAATATCTTCCGAGAACAGCCAGCTGTTTATTTATAAACCCACTTGTGGGGAAACTTGCTTTCTCTGAAGGAATTTTTTTCCCCCAAGCACGTGAGGCGTTTGGGTGATGGGGCCAGAGATGCAGCGGGTATGGAGGATGATGGATTCCTGGGAGGGACAGTATAAGACATCCTGGGTATCCGGATTCAGGAGGCCCTGGCCTTCAGCCGCTTCTACGTGGCCCCAAGGGGACCCGCTCGAACAGCTGCTGTTCTGCCGGTAGCCCAGCAGATGGTGGTGTGAGCCCAGGACCGCACTCCAGGCCTGGCGCTGAGCCCGCGCCCCCCGCCCAACGCAGATGGCTTAATCAGGGCTCGGTCCCCCGCCCCATCAGGGCCGGCGCTGCGGACGTGGAGCCAGGCAGTCAAGTGTTACTGCGTACAGCAGGTAGCCTGGCAACTGCGAGCATAATACGGAGCAGATGGTGTTCGCACGGCGTGATGGACATCACACAGGACAGCCTGAGACAATCCAGGAATTCCCTGGTGGCTCAAGGCCCTCTTTGCACAAAATGAGTTCTCTCTCCGTGGCCGTGCATCTTGGGTGGGGGGGAGCGGGCAGCGGAGGTCTCTCCCTTCCCCACTCTGACACCGAACTGGTTTCTTATTACCGACTTTTCTCCAGCCAGAGGGGAGAGTGACTTGGGAAGGGGGAACAGGAAGAGGACAGGGAAGGAAACCGAAGGATTGGGAACTGCAGGAGATGTTCGGGGACAGTGGCGGCCAGACCCAGGGGCACCCCACCGCTGTTGTGGGGGGACAGGGTTCTTCCAGCCAGAGCAGCACAAAGCCTGAGCAGGGAGGGAGGAAGGAACCTCAGCTCACTCTGCAACCGCGCGGCCTACCAGTGGCCCAAATGAAATTTAGGGTTTTCGTTAAAAGTCCCCTGGGGCATAATTTAGCCTCTTCAACTCCAGCCTATCTGCTTATAAGTCCTCAGGGGGCTCGGGCTAAGCAGGAGAGGGGCCCGGGAGCTCCAGGCTGGGCCGAGAGAGCCTCACTGCT